TCTTAAAAAAAAATATATCTTTATTTCATTTAATTCAGAGTTTTTTCAGTATTTAAACTTTTATCAGAAGACTAATTCTGCTATAAAACATTGTTGAGAAGGTGTATTAAATGATCTGCTCTCCTAAACTCTGTAAACTCAGAGTGACTTCATAGTGTCCTCATAGCTGTAAAGTCTTACCAGGAGGTAACTGAAGGTGTCTAATTAGAGCATTTAAACAGTACCATGGTAGCAGAGGCAGAAATGACTGCCAGATTCTGCTGGGCTCAGACTATACATGGGCCATCTCCACATGAGGTTAGCTTTAAAACCTTGTAGTCTTATTGTACAGTGCTAGACGTATCTTTCAGATAAGAATAGATTCTGAAAGACGCACTGCTCTCAGTTTTATTAAATCCTGAGTTTAAGAAAACATGCATGAGATTAATACCTTTATGAATCCTTGGTGCCTATATGCTATTGTTGGGGGAAGCATTTATTAAGGCAATTAAGAATTTGTCCCTTTTATCCCGTTCCAAGATACTTTTCTTTACCTTGTGTACAGTGTGAGGGTATTGATAGTTTCTACTCTAAACTGCTTGCTGACTGTTGGCGGTGTTTTTCCTGCCTTCAAACAGCAGTTGTTTCCCCTCATCTATGGGAGCAATCCCAGGAGCCTGAAGCCCTTGGAAGTTGGAGGCCTATTTCCAAACACATCCTTTTTTGCTGCTGACACTTTTAGTCAGCTACAGAATTGTAGAAGCGATTCCTGAAAATCAGCCCAGACTGCCTAAAATGATTCTCCCAATATTGTATTGAAACAATTACTTTCAGAGATTTAAGCCATTATTTATTCCCCAAATAAAACCCCCTTTCTCATTCCCGTGTATTCTGTCTGAGTGCAGCACAACAGAATGTGGGTTGTGATGGTCCTTGCCGGCACCAGCCAGCGTTTACATCTGTGTCTGGCACCACTTGAAACCAAGTTCACTTATAAACAACCCGATATTATCGGTGAACATATGAATGATGGATCGTGGACCATTTTTGTTCCTCCTTGAGGTCCTGTGAATGCCCAAGGAAGGCTCCCTCCGAGAATTTTGTAGCTGGTTATTTGCTTTCCTTGGACTGCGTACTCATGGTAGAAGTGATGCTGGATGTCTTTCCTATGTTGATGATGCAGGCTTATTTCTTAAGTAAACTAAGTGTAATTTATAACTCTTGCCTTGCCATCTCACTGTTCTGTCGTGAAAAAAGCAGTGATTTGTAAGACAGCTCTGTGCGCTTATACCTAAACCACCGCTAGACTATCTTCACAATTACATATAAGTTCAGTACAGAGAAAATCAACTAGAGAAATTTACTTTATTTCCACCAGAATGGGACTGTCTGAATACCCTGATTGTGGAGGATTTAGTAGAATGACAAGAAAGTTTTTAATAGTAAAGTAAAATAAATAATTAATTATTGTTTGTGTTTGTCACTGTGGGATTCATGAGAATTTACCCTCTCAAGTCTTCAGTAGACTACCTTCATCAGGGCTGAGAAGTGAGTTGGAAGATGCACTTCTAGAGAAGTATTTTGGCTGTAGGAAAGTGTTCTTTTTATTTATTTATTTATTTATTTTCTAGTATAAATCCAGATTTCTTTCATCTAAATATATCCACCAAATATTTAATTTTTTAATCGAAGATAGGAGCCCTATCCGGCTGGAGTCAAAGGATAGAGACTGATAGAGAATTCCAGATGAAAATGTATCCCATCCCAAGCTAAGATAGTTGGGTTCAATTCCTATCTGAAGATGCCCAGCTTTCTCCAGTAACTGTACATAAAGCCTAGATGTTATAAAAATAAGTCAAATATATCTGAATATTTAATACAAGTTCTATGAAGGCAACATTGAGGATGAAAAAATACTGAAAGTGTTCATATCCGTCTTAAATTAAAAATTAGTTTTATTGCTCTTTATCATATTTCTCTGCACCACACTCACATTATACTGATCTCAAGCATTGGGGTTGATCATCCACAGGGAAGATCAATGTTCCCCATTCCCCCTCAGTGCATAATTTGGCTCTGTGTTTTGTTGTATTTTGGCCCTCTGAAGCACTGGAGATGGTAGAATCAGAAGCAATTGCATGGGACATAAACTCGTATGAGGTTCCTCAGTGCTTCCGGGGACTGCTAACTCCATCCTAGTGAACCATTATTCATTATTATACATAAAGCAGTATTTGCTTGTTGGCATAGAGATTATCCATGATAAAACTCCAGCTTGTTCTTCCACCTACACACCAAGCAGAAAAGCATATAATGCAACTGTTGGAAGAGAGAGATAGATGACACATTACTCATCCTGATGCACTTAGAAAAAAAAAAGTTCCCAACAGGCAAGTGTAATAAACTAAAAGCAGGAAGGGAAAAGAACAAAGGCAATGAGTGACAAGATTATGCTCTTGTTTCTGCCAACTACACACATAACAGATTGCCCTGGACAGTTTGAGAAAAAAATGGTTCACTTAGAATAGAATCAATAAATCTGCAACCTTCCCTGCAAGACAAGTGTTAGTGAGGAGAATCACACCTGCTTACCCAAGCAGTGAATCTTCCTGAAGAATGGGGTAATTGGTCAAATTAAATTTACCAATGGGGTAATTGGTCAAAACTAAACTTCGGTCTTTTTGAGGGGTCTTTCACGGGGCAATTTAGAAGGTTCCAATTGCCCTGGAAAATTTCAAACAGAACATGTGAGTGGTTTTATGTTTTGTCCATATGAAAAGTTTTTTTCCACTGTTTATTTTTTTTTTCATAGCCAATCTGCACATTGGAACAAGGAGGACTTGTCATCCGTGACATTAAAAAATAAGATGGGTCCAAACCAAAACCACACGCCCCCAAAGTTGGTCTGACAATCCGAATCTTGTGGCTCAGATCATATCTACTTGAAAAGCCTCTTAAAACTGTTTGACCCAGCACAGCATCTGCCAGATGTCTGGGGAAGACTGAAACCATCAGCCAAATCTGGTAGCTGGATTTCCTTGTACCTCACCACAGCTAAGAAGCAAACAAGGATACAAGAGGAATTCTGCCAGAAGTCCCTGTACCAAGGAAACCTCTTGGATGATGTTAGATGAAAATACACTGCATTTAAATGCAAATTCACTCCTTGCTTACTTTATTCCCAGCTTGATTTTAAATGAGTAAGGTAGACTACTACAAGCATGAAGAGGCATTCCTGGTCTTTCTCATTTCCATCCTCCACCATTTTCAGATGGAGCCAAATTAAAGAACAACATTTGCTTCCAAATCTTTAGAAAATGTTGGAACCAAAGGTTTTTCAAATGTATAAATCCCAAGGCAACAAACGTCACAAAGTTGCTTACACTGGACCGTAAGTGAAAGGGAATTATTTTTATTTATTTAATCTACTAAATAACTGAAAAAGAGAGAAAAAAAACCAACAAAACCCTCTTTCTGCACATTCGGTTAGGCAATGTTCATCCATCCATCAAGAGCCCATGATATTTGGTGAGCAGTACTTGTTTAGAGAGCCTGAAGAATGATACCAGCAGTGAAAATTAACAGTTTCTGTTTATCCACAATTTAGGTATCATGAGAGCAGTTTCAGCACATGACTTTCCTGGCCAGGAACACAGCAGTGACACAAAGAAGCCAGTCTCTGTAGAATAAGATAACAACCCTTGGATTTTATGGCTTAAATACTGGGCCTCTACCACGGGCACCTAGGGCACATGTGGAGACTGGGAAGAGACTGTGGGCTGAAAAAATGTCAGTCTTGTGCAGAGAGTTGGGAACACAAATTTGAAAACCTGATTTTGCTGTTGTTGGCAGGTGTCAATAATTCCGACCCAGCAGCAAGGTTTTGCAGTGACTTGATTAGCATTGGCCATTGCACAGAGGAGAGGGCAGCAAACACAAATGAGCTGATCAGCAGGAGAAGGAGCAGCATCGTCTCTGAGATGCAACACAGAAGTTAAGCAGTGATTCTATATGACAGAAAGAGAGAGAAACTTCATTTATGAAATTAAGTAGACACTTGGAGACTGATCACTGTCTCAGCTCCCACTTCTCAGTTCTTCAAACCAGCAGGCATGAGCCTGCACAGGATGAAATTGCAGCAAAGTGGGCATCCAGATTTCCCAAAGCTCATCCCATCTGAGCTGGGATACCGAGCCAGTTCCAGTAAAGCTCTCACAGTCCCATTCCCAGTCCTGAACAGTGCAGATAAGATAAAAATATATGCTACCTAATGTTTTTGCATTCAAGTACACTAGTACCCTTAGGAAACCTAGGAAACTTGTAGTTTGTCAGGGAAATACCAGGAAAACAGATGAGAAACATGGTAAAGTAACTATAAAACCTAAGAAAGGAGAGGAGGAGTGAGGAGCTAAGCATAAAGAAGTGAATAAAGCTCTCTGAACTTTGTTTCAGTTTCCAGAATTGCTCATTTAAGTTTGACTCAAAACTTATTCTCAGATTCAAGTCATTTATGATTCAGTGATTTTTTTTTTTTTTTTGATCCCTAATTCAAAGCTTTTCTGTTATCATGTTTTAGGTATAAGTGTATTTTGTATTCCTTCTTGAATTGTAAACATGAGATAGATAGGAAAAACAAAATTAAAATCAGCCCTAAACCATAATCCTACCAAAGAACAAGGTAGTATTGACTTGATAATATAATGTTATGGTAATTTTTAATGTTTTATTATAAAGTTATATAAACATCATGCTTCTTACTGCAAATTCATGCATGTGAAAAAGCAGCCACACAATGGGAAAATGACAGGTGATTTTTAAAATGCCATATTTTGGGTCACTTTGGCTAACCATTGATGGTTTCTTAAGACAGACCAATAATGCTCTTTGAAGCATCTTAAAACACCAGCCACTGTTGGGATTTCTACTGATTGTCTATCTTTGAACTTTATACAGGGAAGTAAGCAGATATATATATATATATATTTTAATAGGTGCTTTAAGGATTGTGGTATGTGGTTGTTTCTGATCCTACATGACTAACTGTAGATTACTAGACCATTTCCAACTGCAGGGGATTACAGCCTTTCTGACTCAGTTAATCTCCAATCTAATGTCCCTAGGTTCCTAAACACCAGAGGATACTTCTAATTCTTTAAACATACAGAAGCTTCTATGTGAAATATAAGGTATACATTCCCTTTCCCTAAATGTTCTTCAGGAGAGTGTAGATGCATGCAAACTAATCATAATAATCCATATTCACATCCATTTGGACAAGGGAGTAGAATATATACGCCCACGTGGTATTTTAGTTGAAAACAATCCCATAGATTGGGAAGCAAAAAGGAAGGTGGGCGACTTGGTTGGACTTTTAAATATTTTTTTATATTAAGTGAATTTAGCTGAGCACACATTTTGAAGGGCTGTTCTGAAGCTGATGCTAATGGCTTTGCCAAACCCCCAAAATAACTTACAAACGTAATGGTCTGAGGGATGGTTGAGCAGCATTTGCTGAATGCTAAATTCAGTTCATTGGAAAGAGGTATTCTGGCCTTATGAAAACAACCCATTTAATATGGACACATGAGTAGAACAGAATAGTCTAAAAAACTTGAAGATTATTTCAATAGCAGCTGGGCTGGTATTTATAGAAACACAGTGATGTGCACAAAACAATGAGGACATTCTTGTGGCTGTGATGCCTTCAGTTTTTGTTGTGCTTGTTCTGGGTAAAAAGAGGTAGGAATAACAGGGTTGATTTTTTTTATTTTATTTATTTATTTATTTATTTATTTTTAGGAACAGATGTTTGTTAGAAAAAACGTCTTTTTTCTTACAACCATTGGCTGGTGAATAGGTAGTTCCCGAGACTTGCCATGCAGATGTACGGGCTGTTTTCCATCTTGCCTTATCAGTTAAAAGAGAAAAGTACATGATTGTATCTGCTATCCTGCTCTCAAGGTATTTGGAACAGCTCTTTTTTGATCTTTCCCTTTAAACATGCTATGTAACTGTGTTAAGATACCTCTAAGCCTTATTCAGCAGGAAGTGGAGTTCTTTCATACAGCACTGCAGCACATTAATCTAGGAGCCTATGACAACATATACTCATACAAGTCATATGGGCCGGCTCGACACAGAGTGAGCACAGAGCACGGTTACCCTGCATGGACTTGTCGTGGCTCTCATGATCAAAGCAATCACCCAAGCCCAAGCAGCCGCCCAAGCTGGGAGATGCCGTGCTATATCCAGAGTGGCCTAATGGAGTCATGTCTTTAAACCAGCAACAACCTGGCAAATGAAGAAACAAAATGTGATTGTATCTTACACGGAGCCGAGGGGAGCCTCTGCCCGCTGAATGGAGGTGAGGTTAGATGGAGTGCGAGGTCATTGCCGGGTTTTCTTTGAGCACCACAACATCGAGGTGACTCAATCCACCAGTGCCAGCATTTGTATTTTTTGAAGAAAAAAGCACGGTACTGCTGTTGTGGAGATTATCGGGACATCAGTGAGTATCTGTGGGAGAGGAAACAGAAACTGGAAATGGAAACTCCTACCCATGAAGGGTACAAGGTTCAGATCTAGGTGATAACACTTAGGCAGCATCTGTTTCCAAAGGAAGACTTTGATTGTCTTGAACCACAGCTTTGTTCTTCATCCTAAAAAGCTGTGGGACAAGAAGCACCAAATTTCTGGTGACTCCTCCGTGTCTTCCAATGATGTCTGAATAACCCTGTGCATATCTGTAAATTTCTGGAGCAATTACTCAGAATAAAAATAAACTACTGGTTTGTGTAACAAATTACGGAGATTGCATATGAAAACAAAAACAAGCAAATAAGATTTCTTCCTGTAACTCTTCAAAATAAGTTCTCACTTTTGAAAGGAAAAAAATGGGCGAAGTCTTCATTGAATGTGCTTTTCCATGTTGCTTTAGAACCTGAAAACAAGTTTTGTACTAAACGAAATAACCAATTTGGAAACCTGCTTCTCTAATCATGAGTTTTGATCAGAAAACTTTAAGACTAGAACTGCATTAGGTAAATTGTACTAATCCTTTAACAATATATCATAGCAACTACAATCCCCGCCCCCCCCCGAACTTCCACAGGCTGTCAAGGACAACAAAGCACATGAAAGATGAGGATCTCAGCTGTATCATTATTTCCCTGCAAGAAGCTGTTTCCCCCCCTTCCTCCCCATGAAAACAATACACCACCACACATGCACACCTTGGAGCTCAATAGATCTGTCACCTGCAGCTCCCAAGCTTTTTACTCATTTCTCTTATTGCAATGAACAGAGGACCCAACTCAAATCCCCTTTTGTAGTGAACAGGACACTAGCATTGGATCCTGACAGGCTCATTAGATCCACAAGGAGTTTACTATCAAAACTCAAGCACACGAACAGCCTGCATTTTACAGGTGGACAGTTGAGGCGGAGAGAGATTTAGGGTGGATTTGTTTTCTTTCACTTTGGCCATCTAAAAATTAGGAATCTAGTCCAAACTAGTTACCTAAACTCTCTGTAATTAATGGAGGAGACAGACATATCCAGAAAACAATTCAGCCCACTCATCTTGGACAGCTGTCTAACAGAAGGATGATTCATCCTCCCCTTGATTATCAAGGGAGTCTACATAACTTGGATGGATGGCGAGCTTAGCTGTGTCCCGTTCTCACCCACCGGCCCGCTGTTGTGTAACATCCTGCAGCGCAGGTAGGAAATTACCCCAGACTATATTTCAGTGCCTTCATTTTTCTTCTGCAAGAGTTTGATCCAAACCCCACTCAGATGCGAAGTCCCCTTTTGAACGCAGTGCCAATTTGGCAGTGTTCGCGCTCCCTGTCCTCTCTTTGCCCTGGAGCAATCAATGCTTTGAAACCAGCTCAGGAAGTACGCAAAGTCTGAGAACAATTCACACGGGCTTTTATTTCTTTGGAATGATGTCAACACATCACTTTAAAGTATCACAAAAAAGATGCCATTTGGGAAAGAGAAGTTGACAGGGATAGCTGTTAAACACAATAAGAAAAATCACCTAATGTGAGGGTCTATAGAAATTAATAATTAATCTCTTAATACCAGGCAGCTGCACATACAGATCTCCAGTGCCTGCCAAGGAGTAGCATAATCCAGGCAGATCTGTCCCACTATCGAAAGAGAAGGGTGGGGCAGTTTCCTTATCACTATCTAAAGTTACTGAACAATTTAATTTGTATTATTCATGGTGTTACAGCTGTCTGCAGCATGACAATGGCAGTTGCATTGTGCTAGGCATTTCCTGGGGGAAAGGAGCACCCAAGATTTCTGCTTCAAGAAGGAGAGACATTGACAGACAAAAAGCTCCACCAGCCAGTCTACTAGAGAAATAGGCAACCAGCATTTTTCTCCTTGCTGCTTTGCCAAGTTACATGCTCGCAGAGCTTACTGAGAGGGCTGTGGAGCTCAACGCTTTCAGCAGGGGCTCCAAAAAATCTGCCTGCAGTGCTCCGGGTACCCCAGCAGCGAGTGGCACCAGCTGCTTCGGCAGAGCTGCAGACACCTTACAGCAGCCAGATATGGGATAACCTAACACTAAGGGAGATTTCTTTCCAGAGTCTGACAGCCAAAGTTTGGGCTGAGTCCCGAGGAGTGAGAACCTATAGCTAAATTGCTCTGTAGCATTTCCAGGTCTCGTGCTGGCTATTCTGGACCTTCAGTGACTGAAGTCCTTGGAAGCTGTCATCTCTCCGGACAGCACACAGATACTCTGAAAAGGTTACCTCACATCCCTCCCACCTTTAGGAAACACAGGCTGAGATAGCTTTCAGTCTCTGCCACCCACACCCCAGTGCTGATACTGTGATAATTCACAGCTATTCCTGTGGAACATGTCCAACAGCGCACCCCCCCTCCCGTTAAAACAAACAAACAATAACAACTAAAACCACAACGAGCTTTAGGGGAGGACTGGATTAGAGCAATGCATGACTCTATTTTCCCCAACACTTCTCCCACTCACAGATACTGAATGAGATCCCAGTCTCTTATTTAACTCTGCTTACTGTCAAGACTTTGGAAAAAGGGCTACTGCAGCTTACATTTTGCAGACTTCATTGCCATGCCAGCTCACACCTTCTAAATCCCAACTCTATTTACATGAGGGTGGGGCATGTAAATCCATGGAGGAATTATTCTAACAAAGCAACCTACTGCCACCACTTGATCAGAACAAGCTTTGCAGGAAAAAGTACTGAGCTTGCTTGCAAGGGTCATTTGCCTTAATTGAAGAAGTGGAAAATATTTAATTGCGTGTGCTTGTGGCACTCTGTGAAGAAAGAAGCGTCACGCTGCTTGTTAAATGCATTGTGAATATAATGTTGGACGTGTGTCCATCCTGGGGTCTCTGGGAAAGAAGAATGAACATAAAATATCCCATGTACACGATACCTAACTTTCACATGCTGTTCATTACCTAGCTATTCCCATTCATTTATGAGCTTTTTTTCTGTTCTGATGATTGCTAAGAATTATGCACAAAGACAAACACAGCACAAATCACTACGAGAAAAGTTGAAAACAGAATACCTCAAAGGCTGTACTGCAAGGTGGAAAGCATTGAAAGGAGAGGGCAACTGATGATTTCTTTTCTTGTCTTAGTGTTTTCAATGCTGTAGCCACCTAAAGAGCAAGTTATGGAAATACCTTAATCTCAGGAAATAAAGAATCCAACTGAACAAGATCATTGTATTTCCAGTAACGCATTCCTACAGGGATGCATGTGTGTGTTCAGTCACCTTTATATGTGTAGGGGGTTGAAAAAGCCCTTTTGGCACTCAGATCCTGTACAAAGTGATACAAGGGTACCCAGAGTGTGAAAGTTGCTGGAGCTTTGTCACTGAATTCAGATCAGGATGGCACACAGCGAGCAAAACAGTCTTTATCTTTTCTTTTTCCTGCAGTGCTATAGGTCAAAGATGGCAAATGCCATTAGTCTTAGGAGCCACCTCCATTGCTACCAAGCACTTGGGTATGGTGCCCAGCAGTCATGTTTGTGCTGTGCCCACCTAGCAGACCTGGTGTGGCTTTGCCTCTACCCAGACACACTCAGATGAACGCCCCCCAGGCATCCTGGAAGGAGATAATGCTGCTGTGTCCACCACATCCATTCACTGAGCTCACTATCAGCCACCAGCACCCTCTGGTACAGACTGTGTGCCCTTTAGCTGTGTTTTGGGCAGTTTCTCATATCAGCACATGAGTAACAACAGGAGTACTGGTGATTGTTGAACACACGGTCCTGTACTGCCTCAGAGCTGACTTTGCAGGAGCTACCTCTGCTCTGAAGTACATTTCTGTTTCTATAGCTCTCCACGTGGGTTTGAATCGTAGACAGCCCTGGTGAGACGATGATCTAAACTGACCTAAATTCCAGGTCAAGCAAAATTTAGGTTAATTTCACTGATGTCATTTTTTAAATTTTAATTGGCATAAACTCTCTGGGGCAGGGACTTTTTCCAGGGAGTGCGTGTACAAGCTAAATCCACTGATGGAGTCTCACACAGCTTCTGAAACCCCTGACTTCCAACCTTTTTTATGTTTACCCTTTATGCGTTTGTATCAGGGCATTTCCTTCCTACCACTTCAGGAAAAAAAGACACATACACATACATACACACAAAAGAGGGGATGAAGGCAGTGATGCTAACAGTGCTGCCAGAGACAGCCATTTCTGTAGATTGAAAGATCGGGAAAACATAAATGCAAACAGAGAGCCCATTAAACACTGGTGGAAAAATGGAAGCTCTGGAATGTCTCCAATATAACTAAAAAGCAATCCAGGACTGGAATGATTCTGTGTTTGTTTTCTGTCCATTTTTCATGATTTGCTCATTGTCACTTCATACCCTCCCAATATCATTAATAGAGCTGACCAATGCTATTTCTAAGAAAAATATTTTCATTAAAAAAAAAGACATTTTCCTGAAAATAATTTTTCTGAACGTGATGGTAAATTGCTGAAATACTCCTTTTTCTATAAACAGTTGACCTTTTTTAAATCCATTTTTGTTGAAAATTTTACTGGAAAGATTAGCAAATCTTTGTCAATTAATCACATACATAACATTTTTACTTACAAGATATGTTGGAAAGAAGTGCAAAATACTGGCCATCTGTAAGACGATGAAATGCAAGCAGTGTTGCTTGTGGGAGCACCGTAGTTCATGTTTTATAATTTTATGTTATAATTTGAGTGTTTCTGACAATCATCTCAAAAAATCACATTAGTATTTACAGTATTAAAACTAAAGTATGTTGTGACAAGGAGAAGGCTGCTCAGCAAAGCCTTATTTCACATGGGTATTTTTGCTCCCCCTGTTCTGCCATCCTTACTAAACTCTTCTTGAGACATTGGGTGGATGAACCTTTCTTTCCGGTGCTGTATCCTCTCAAAATAACACATCCCATCTGTTTTCCTCTCTTTCCCATCTCCAACACAGGTCAGCACTACATATGCCAGAATTTCCCTG